AGAAAGGACATGACCCCCAGTGCCACTCTGGGAACGCAGGTGTGTCTGGTTCAGGAGGTGGCATGACCCCCCGTGCACTCTGGGAACCCAGGTGTGTCTGGTTCAGGAGGGGCATGACTCCCTGTGCCATGCTAGGAAACTGCCTGGATCTGGTTAAGGGAAAAATGCCATAGAAGACATTCTTGAGACAAGTGGAGAGATTTGAAAATGAATAGGAATTTATTAGCTGGTATGTGAACCAAGTGCCCATTTTTCAGGTGTGATAATGACATTGCGGTTGTGTGGAGACCAACCTAATCCTGTGACTTGTGTGCTCTTGAATTACTTAAGGAACTTGGTAGGTTGTCTGTAGCTACTTTCAGATGATTCAATGACAATAAATATGTATTTAGAAAAAGATAAAGCAAATATGTTTTAGCATATAATTAGCAAATAATTGCTAGATCGGGGTGGGAGTACAGAATTCTTTTCAGTTTTTCTCCATTGTGTTTTTTTCTGAAATAAAAATGGGGAGGGCTGACCCTTCTCTGCTCCTCAACTCCCAGCTATGGCCTGTGTCTGTTTCCTCCCAGGCACACGGGGGTGATCACAGGGCAGACCTGGGGTGGCTTTAAGAACCAGACAAGTTGATACACACAGTACCTCCAGGACAGGGCTACACAAGGTGTGAATAAAGATCAGTTTTTAGTTTTTTGTTGAGCATCTAACACCGGCCAGGCCCTGCTGAGCATCACCACACTTTCTGCCTCCATAAAACCCAGTTAGCAGGGGTTTCAAAGAAGAATGCAGACAGCTTTCTACTGTTTGCATATTTCTTGCTAAACATCTGGAATTTGCTGTTATTGCAGCAAAGTCCAGAGAATATTGATTCATTTGCAAAATAATCCAATTAACTTCCACTCTCCAAATTCACCTAAATATTAGTTCTCTTCAAAAAAGCAATCAACCCAAGAATCAGTTTTTAAGGACTATATTTTCTAGCGAGTTTTATTTCTTATCAATGAGTTTTGCTTAATTTAATAGACAATTCTGAAAAATGCGTCTAAGCAAGGATCACACCTTAACCCTCTCATTATATGTTAAGTGTTTCATTATTGTTGTTATTTGGCCTTCAGAGAATTCAGTTCTGTAGGGAGGAACATGGCAGATCAGAAAAGACAGTCTTATTATTTTTAGAGGTCTTAAAATTTAATGATAAACTATCAACTTGTAGAACAGTAGAGTTGTTTTTTGAAGCACAATGAATTGGGTAGCATTTTTGCACTATTAATGGCAAATATCGGAAGGGTAGTAAGAAACTGTCCCCAAACCTCAACATACTTCAATAGTAAAATTAATTTTCAATTTCAAATTCAATTCCGACCACTAAGCAAATAGCTTCAAATGAAATAATAAATCCTGGCATTTAATAAAGAGTAACAATATAAACCAAAACAAACCTTGCTTTATAATTCAAATCTAACAACTCAAATAAGTCATTCCAATCACTGGCAAAGGGCCCTGCCTCACACTAGCAGGGTGGAACCCTGGCAGGTCCAGAGAGAACTGGGCAGCAGGAGGGGACACTTCCTTCCACAGAGGGCTCCTGGGACAAGTCCCCCCCTGGATGGGTATGCTTTACAGCTCCATGCTACAGCCCCAGCCCAGAGAGTCCAGGTACATCAGGGAGCTGCAAGCCCTGAGCACTGAGGCCCTTACATTCAGGATCCTGGAGCATGACTTCCTTACAAGGGTCATATATCCAAAATGTCTCAGGATCTTACCACTGAAAAACTTCTTACAAAGGCCAGTTAGTAATTCCTGGAGCAAAATCTTGGGCAGGAATAAAAGGATGCTCTGGAAACACTGAAATCATTGAACTTGAAGCTATCAAAGAATGCTAGAGCACTCAATTTAATTTGCAGGGTTGGCGGGGGAGTTGCTTATGGTTTGCTACAAGTGCAAGTCCCAAGAATCTTCCCTATTTATAATTTATTTTCCCTCATGTTTAAGTTCCAGAGGTTTCAGTCATTATGTTGACATCAGAGAAACCTATACAATTAAAGAGATAGCTCAGTTGTTGCAACCTTGTATTTAACAAACTGCTCTATATACAATTCTGCTAATTTACTTACAAGGTATTTCTCAGGTACAGGCCCTATATTAGCTGAAACCTGATAAATGACAGGCATTAAGATGGCCACAGTGACTATCACCCCCACTCCCAGTACACACACCCTTCCTCTCGAATGAGGGCTGGGCCCAGTGACTAGGTTCTAACAAAGACAATATGGCAAAAGGGATGGGATGTCCCTGCCAAGATTAGGTCATGAAGACTGGCCTTCTGGCTTGCTGTCGTGTTCTATCACTGGCTCCCTCTGACTTGCCCGATGAAGAGCCCCAGTGGCTGAGTGAGCAGGCCTGGAATCACAGTCAAACACACAGTCAAACCTTCAGATGAGACCACAGCTCCAGCCAGCACCCTCTAGGCAGCCTTGTGAAGCTCTGAGCCAGAGGATCCAGCTAAGCAGTGCCTGGATTCCTGACCCACAGAAACTGTAAAATAATAACTGATGTTTTAAGGCACTAAGTTTTGGGGTAATTTGTTGGACAGCAATATATAAATAATGCAACTATGCAGCACTATCACACCTTTAAAAATCCAAAAATAGGAAAATAAAGAGCCTAACCAAACCTGAATGCCCAATTTGGCAAGTCTTTTCCAAAACTTCACAAAACAAATTAAGTTTTAAAAAAGGAACAAAAGTACAAAAAAAGAAAAAAATCAGAACTAAGTGTTGAGTAAGAAGGTCCCAAGTGTGGTTACATTTGGCAAATAAAAGTTCCTAAGCTGGACTATGTGGGGACTCCATTTGGTCAAGATTTGGTCCTATGAAATGTCAATCTGAAAATCTAAACGGGTTTTCTCCCAAGTAACCAAGCAATGAAGTTGTGGCACAAAGTGAAATACTGAACTGACCAGTTCAAGTGTCTCTCCTGGGAGTCCACATAGCTCGGAGTTTTAGATTTATATCTCGTCCTACTGCCCAATCTCTGGATAAGTTTGCAAGCCTAACACACGTTGATCTTTCTAAAAGTATTCCTGCTGTTCACTCATTCATTCACGCACTCACTTCTTCATTTAATAGTTGTGTGCTGCCTCCTGACCTCACACCAGGCAGCCAGTTCTGGGAGCTGAGCTGGACAAGGCCCTTGCCCTCCTGGGCTTTTTATTCTCTCAAACTCCTCCAGCATTATCTTACTGGACACAATCTGGAGCCATTCCCCAATCAAAGAGCAGCACATAACACACCCTACTTTTCCATTAGCACTTTCAAATGAAAGGAGAACACGGGTTCTAGATGAAAGTCTCATTCGAAGGTTTCAGAGAAGCAAAGACCCCCAATTGCTAGGTCCTTTAGTATTTTCCTTTCCGGGAGGAGAAGGTGCCTGATCCACTCACCTGATATGTATGCTTGCCTGCTCCAACTTTCCTGCCCTGGGCTGGCACCCCAAAACACTTCCCTAGGCTTCCAATACTCCTGGTTGGACCCCACCCCTCCTAGAACTTCCTGGACACTGCAAACACCTCCAGTCTCAGGTTGGAGGGTACACCCACACAACCACATGACCTCCACAAATGGAGAGAGAGGAAGGCAGGTGTGGTTGAAGGTGATGAACACTGACCACGAGGCCAAGGCAAAAGACAGTGGGCCTGGAGTAGGGGCTGGAAGAATAAGGTAGGGGATCTGGGGAGTGAGCACCGTGCTGGCTTGAGGCATGGAGCCAGTGTGGATTAGGAGCTCCACTTGAACCCCTGGGGACATAAGGGGGGTCCCAACCCTGCCTCACATGTGTCCCAAGGGCCCAGCCAGGCAGCATCTGCTGAAGGTCAGAAGGTCTGTAGGGCTGGCCCAGGTGCTCCTAACATCAGGGTGCTCAAGGGCCTCAGAGGGATCTGCACTGTGGGGCTCAGGTGACCAGGATCCCTGATGCCCCCAAGCCTTCACAGCAGGTGGATCCAGCTGAGTAGACTGGACATATTAAGGGCACCTCTGGATCCTGCCCCAGGGGTCCAACCCCCTGGAGGGCTGGCTTGGGGTTCCAGCATTCCTTAGAGTCCACTCTTGGGGTCTGGGCGATTCCCATCGACTTGTTCAGGAGTTCTGGCCTTCTGAGGGACCTGTCTCCAAGTTCCAGCTCTTGTCTGGGTCCTGGCCCTCCCTGAAAGCCTAGCTTCTTCATGGTCGTGCCCCAGCATCCAGATGCTCCCAAAGGACCTACCCCCGGGGTCCTGATCATCCCCGGGAGTCTGTCGCATGGGATGAACCCTCCTCATGGCACCCTGGCCTCCCACTCAAAAGGGACGGTCTCAGGGTCTCAGACGTGCTCACAGGACTGTTCCAGGGTCCCAGCCCTCTTTGGGGCCAGTCTTGGTGTCCTGGCCGCCCTCAGTGACCCAGCCCGGTTGTTCCAGCCCTCCCTGGGTCCTGCCGGGTCCTGGGTCCGGCCCTCCTCAGTGACCTGTCTCAGAGTCCAGCCCTCTCTGGCTCCTGTCCAGTCTCAGGGTCCCAATCCTCCTTGGTGACCCGTGCTGGGGTTGGACCCTCCTGATGACCCAGCCCAGGGCTGGACACTCCTCGGTGACCCATCTCTGTGTCGGTCCGGCGCTTCCTGCTCCCTGTCTGGCGGGTCTGGGGTCTAGCCCTCCTCCGTGAACCGTTTCAGGGTCTGGCCTTCCCCGCTGGCCCGTCCCGGGGTCCGGTCCTCCCTGGTTCCTCCCCGATGACCCGTCCCGGGCTCCGGCCCTTCCCCGTGACCTGCTCCGGGGTCTCGACCCCGTGGATCCGGCCAGCGCCCGGAGCCTGCCGAGCCGTGTGGGGACTCCGCGGGCCGGGCCGACGAGGGGCGCAGGGGCGCGGGCAGGGGTTCCGAGCCTTCCGGGCCCGCACACCGGCCGAGGCCGCGGCCTGGGGAACGGGCGCCGCGGGCCAGGCCAGGCGGGGCGCGGACTCACTGACCTGCCGTCTCGGCTGCGGGCGAGCAGGGCGCACGCGGGGGCAGCGCCGGGAGTGGCGGGGGGGGCGCCGCTCCCTCCGGGTCCCCCCCAAGAGCAGGAGAAAAAAACCCGTCCGGAGTTTAAAACAAAGAGGCGGAAATGCCCGAACGGAGCCGAGCGGCGAGTCGGGGGCGCCGCGCATGGAGCATGCGCATTGCGCGGCCCGGCTCCCACCCCGCAGCCGGGGAGGGGGCGGGGCCCGGAGGGGGCGGGGACTGAAGGGCGGGGGCGTGGCGTGGTCAGAAGGCGCAGGCGCGTTCGGGCAGGGCTTGGCCGAGGGATCGGGAGCTGGGAGGGTGCCAGGGGCGGGGCCCGCAGAGGAGGCAGGGGATTGCGAGGGCGTGGCCGGAGGGGGCGTGGGTAGAGGGGGCGTGGTCGGCGGGTGCTGCGCTGGGGTTGCGGGGAAGAGTCCTGCGGGACACAGGATCTAGTAGTAGGCAGCTGGCGCTGAGCCCGGCTCCCGGACCGGGGCATTCTTGTGGCGGAGTCGGTCTCGTTCTTGCGATCCAGTCCTTTCTGGGACCTAGCACAGAGCGCTCTCCGTGCACCAGGCGGGACAGTGGGCAGCAGGGCTGACCCCGCAACTGTGTGTGTCCACCCTTGCACAGGCTCTGCACTGGAGCGTAAGTAGTGACCGTGACGTCCATCCCTTCCTGGGGTCCACAGCTTGTTGGGGGGGGCAATAACAGAGGAAAAAACAAATCTGGTGTCATGTGGGAGCCAGATAAACTGGGTGGGGGAGGCAGTGGATGTCTGGAGTGTTAGTTACAATAGGGTGGATGGGCATGTAAGGGACACAAAGGGAGCCAGCCATAGAGGCACAGAGTCGTAACATAGAGGGAACGAGCCCTGCAAATATCTGGAGGTGGGGTTCACAGGTAAGTTGTCCTGCCAGCACCAAAGTGCAAAGGGGGGGTTGAAGGTTGCTTGCCACGGGCCAGCATGGAAGCCAGGGGGCATGGGGCATGGAGAGGGAGGAGATGAGGTCAGATGGAGAGGTCCCTGGGCGTTCGGAGCAGAGGGGTGTTGGCATGGTGCCGGCATGGTAAAGCCTCCCTCTGGCTGTCTTGTGTTTGTCTGGCACGAGCAGCAAGGGAGACAATGCAGGGAAGAAGCCGCGGTGCTGCACCGGGTGGTGCCCTGGAAGGGAGGAAGCGTGGACTGCTGGGGCTCAGCCTGAGAACAGGCAGGGATGGGTGAGGAACAACTGGAAGGGTGGACAGCCTCTGACAATCTGGGGATGGTGATGGAGCACAGGAGAGTGGGGTCAGCTGTAATAGCCATTAGACTCCCCGTGGCCCTGCTGTGAGTCTGTGGGCTTCAGGAGTGGAGTCTGAGTTTGCAGTGTTCAGAGTGAGGGATGGGGGGGCTGAGCCCCCTGCCCACGTGGAGAAATCAGAGAGTCCAGGAGGATCCAGCAAGAAAGACCCAGATTGAGCAGACTGGGGAGAAGGATCCCCAGGGGTGAGTGATGTCTCGTCAGCTGCTGAGAGGGGCGTGGGGAGTGGGACCCTTCTGGGATCTTGTCCAGTGCAGTATGGTTGCATTGCCAGGGTAAAAACTGAATTGTGGTCGGCTCAAGGGAGGAGGGTAAATATAGACAACCTTTCCAGGTGTTTTGCTTTGGAGGGTTTCTGGGACTAGAGGGCTGTTTTCTGTTTGGGTCAGAGCCTCAGTGGTACTGATGGGGTACAGGGAGAGATGAGCACACTGGAGAGAGGGAAGGCTGCCTGAGCCCAAGTCCTCACCCAGGACTGGAGACCAGATCCGGGGCAGGGGGCTGTGGCAGCCTTTCACACTGGGGGAGGAAGACCCCGATGCAGGGAGTAGGGCCTGGACAGCATCTCATCCAGCTGTTTCTTTTTTCCAGGGAAATGGCAGCTAAGTTGAACCAGTCTGGAGTGGAGGCCTGGGTGTCAGAAGTGGGGATAACAGGCCAGGAACAGCCCTGGGCACAGAGCAGTGACCCCAGGAAGTCATGCAATGGCCTTCTGACACTGTAGCTGTCTGTCTGCAAATGGGGGAGAGCCAGAGTGTGTGCATGAGGCATGGCCACAGGTCTCTCTCAAAGAGTGCAGACAGAACATCTGACCTGCCTGCTCTCCCCGGGGACCTCATCAGCAACAACACCCGAGACCTTGACCTTGAACCCTGGGCTCCTATATCTAACTGTCTGGCCATAACTCTGCTGGGCTTCTCTTTAGGGAGCTCAGGCTCTGATATCAGGATATCAACTCCTGATCTTCCCCCAAGACTGCTACTCACCCCAGCCCCCATTGCAGAGGAGACGGCTCCATCCTGCCGGCTAAGCCAAGACACTGGGATCCTTTCTTCCAAGCCCATACCTGCTGTCAGCAGACCCCTCAGAATATGGCTATGGCTTTCCACCCCAACTCTGGTCCAAGGTCATTGATTGCCTCTGGATTAGTGCACAGCCTCCAGACTGGTCTCTCTGCTTCTTTCCTTGACACTCCCTCCCCCACCATCTATTCTCAACACAGAGTAGTAACTTTCATAACACATTAGTCAAGCCATGTTCCTCTTCTGCTCAGAAGCCTCTAGGAGCTTCACTCAGAGCAAAAGCCCAAGAGCAGTGTGATTGCAGGGCCCCAAGGAAACCTAAGATGATGGAACTGTGTGCTGTGTGGGTGGCAGTGGTAAGTTCATGGGTGTATACATGGGGCAAAACTCACTGAAGTGAGTTTACATATATCTGGTATATGTGGTTTATACCTCAATAGAGCAGGAAAGAAAGAAGAAACCAGAAACATGGTACAAACAGTGAGAGGACACTGCCTCCCCACCCCACCCCCAGCCCACTGCTCCCTCCTCCCAGGAGGGTGAGCTGCCCTCACTCCTGTACCACCCAGCCATCCCAGGGCACTGGCCTGTCCTTGGCACCCCCAGCTGCTCCACCTCACCTCTCCCGGACCATTCTCTGTGTTGGATCACTCCATTCACTCACAAACTCAGGGTGAGGCTGCCCGTCCTAACAGCACAGAGCAGGACTTACTCTCTCTTGGTGGTGCACTTCTGTGCTTGTCTTCACAGCACGACTCCTCCAAAGAGCTGTCTATACTCAGCCTCTCCAATTTCTTTTTCCATGATCTCTCTTAAGCCCTGGGGCTTCTGCCCTGCCCCAACTCGAACAAAATGCTCTGGTCCAGGCACCCAAGGCTTTGTGGGGCTCTGTCCAGTGGCCATTGTCATCTCCATGACCCCCTGTGCTGCTTCTCTCCTGAAATACTTTCCCTGTAACCCATTCCCCATCGTGTTCTGCCCCATGACTGGCACCTTCTTGGCCCCTCTGCCACCCTCTTTCCTCCTGGGCTTTTCCTGCCAGGCCTCCGCCCCTCTCCCTGAGGCTCCTCTCCTGGCCAGTGCTCACTCCGCCCGTGGTTTCAAGCCCAGTCCAGATGCTGGCTACGCTCCAATGTTTATGCATGATGTGTCCCTCCAGTGGACAGCAGACATCATTCCCACCAGGTTCAGGACACAACTCGGGGCTACGCAGGTGACCTGCTTCCTTCCACCTTCCTCATCTCAAACAATAGCCACTCCATCTTTTCTATTACGGCGGCACAAACATTTGGACTCATTCCTGATTCCTCTCTTTCTCTGTTTTCTCACATCCAATTCCTGGGGAAGTCCTGGGGACTTTATCTTCAAATATGCCTTAACCCAACCATGGCTCTGGGACTGCACAGCTGCTGCCCTGGCCTGAGCCCACCTGTTCTTTCTGGGTTGTTACCACAGCCTCTGCCCTGCCCCCAGTCATTGCTGAACAGAGCAGCCCAGGGGCTGACCCTTCAATACCTAAGTCAGAGGGTTTCAGGCCTCTGCTTAGCAGCCCAGTGGCTGCTCTGAGTCTCCAAGGTCCTGCCTCAGGGCCAAGCCCTGCCTTGACTCTGGCCTGGCCTGGTTGCTCTCCCCAACTCACTTCTTCCAACTACATGGCCCTCCTGGACATGCCGGCTCTCACATCTCAAGGCAGAGCTTCTCCTGGACCTGGGTGGCCCATCCTTGCTGCCCATGTGGCTCTTCCCTCCCTCAGGCCTATGGTCAGGTATCCCCTGAGGCCTCTCCTGATCAGTCTGGTGACAAAACCTCACCATTTGATAACTTATCTTGTTGGCAAGACCCTCATGTATTGCTAATGGAGATTGATAACATCCAGTGAAACTACATAGACATTTACCCTTTGGCCCAGCTATCCCCAAGTAGGAATTTATCCCAAAGATAAATTGGGAAAACTGGCAAAACACTGGCAGAAATGTCAAAAAACACACACAAAAAAACCATGGACAAGGCTGCTAATTGAAGCATAATTTGTAACTGAAAAAACTGGAGACAGTCTGCAAGGCATCAGGTGTGAGTCTGCACACTGTGGGTCCTGGTAGCTGCAGCAGGACGGGCAGATGCCCGTGCATACCATCACGGGGCCACCACCAGGTGTGCGAGCCAGGGCGTACTGCTACGCTGTGCAGGGTGCAGGGGCGCCCGGGTGGCCCTGTCGGTGAGGCATCTGCCTTCGGCTGGGGTCATGATCTCAGGGTCCTGGGATGGAGCCCCAGGTCAGGCTCCCTGCTTCAGTGGGGAGTCTGCTTCTCCCTCTGCCCCACTCGCTCTCTCGCTCTGTCTCAAATAAATAAATAAAATCTTAAAAAAAAAAAAGGGGGAGAGCAGGGTGGAGAGCAGGGTGTGTGGAGTGCTGCCACTCACCCCGTAAACGCGGATCATCGTGTGTTCTGTGGGCTTGCCTGTGTGAAGACCCTTGTGGATTGTAGCTGGGGGTAGTAGCAGGGTATCTGTGTCATAAAACAGAGAGAGGGTAAACACAGCAAAACAACCTCAGCTGGGCAGCACTCACCTCAACGCCCACACGTAAACACACATCTCTCTACACAAACAAATGGACACCTATTTCCAATGGACACCAGAAAAACTTGTTAAGTGTCTCATACCATACACAAGATG